AAGAGCAGATGACGGATATGGCCTTAACGCTCAATCCAGAGTATTCTTGTTAAATTTTGAAGCTCTATAAGCTATCTAACCTTTGTATAGAGTCTTCTTGATTCTTTTATTCGAACATTTGTTTGTTAGTATGTGTTTAAATTTTATATTTTTCTCTCACTATATTATACGTATTTTTGTATAGTAATATAAGATACGATCGATTTAATGTAATACATACATGAAATCTTGTTGTAAAATAATTTTATTAAAATTACGTTTCATCTTATGTTTATTATAGTGTATGATATTAATAATATCATCTGAAATTTATTACATGGATAAATATTATATTTTCTTAGAGTATATTTTATTTTTTTATATTGTGTATATTTAAGGGATGTTCGTTATATTCTATAATTTAAAGTAAAACAGATTTGAATCAAATAATAAATTTATGAATTTAAAATATATTTACAAAATAATTAAATTTAATTATTTTAATTTATCTAATATTTACCAACTCATAATATATATATAAAATAATAAATTTTATATTTTTAATTAAATTTAAACTCTTAACATTTAAATAAAAAATAAAAATCTTAACTATAATTTAGTTGTTAACCCACGTAACAACTCAAAACCTAAATTACCCGACTCGTAATTGTGCATCAGACACGTGCCTAATTAAAAATAGTTATTTTAATTTTTGTTTCTAAATTACGCCGTAAATTTTGTCAGTGCTAAATTATTTTATAAAAAAAAATATTAATGACGTTACGTAGACCGTTGACCAAAATCAAATCACTATTAATCGTCGATGAGAGGCGGCTCTAATCTCAACCCTCCGATCTCTCCTTCTCGGTTGGGTTCTTCTCTCCCTCTTTCCTCGCAGCTACTGTGAACTCCAGACGAATACTCCGATCTATTTCCACGCGCGAACGTAAGAAATAATTAACAAATCAATCTCCTCTATCAACGTATATATATATATATATTATAAATATACACCATAGTAGATAGTCAACATAGAAGGGGACAAGGAAGAAGAGAGCTCAAAACAGAGAAGACAGTTTTCTTGCGTGTCTGGAGATACTACAGAGAGGGGAGAAATGGTTGATGCAAACTCTGGAGGTCAGGATTTTCCGGCGATTCCCACCCATGGAGGTCAGTACATTCAGTACAACATATTCGGCAATCTTTTTGAGATAACTTCCAAGTATCGGCCTCCGATCATGCCTATCGGTCGCGGCGCGTACGGTATCGTTTGGTACGTATAATAGTTCTTTGGATCATGCTTTTTTTGGCTTTCTGTTTTTAGTTTTAGGTTTCATTTTTTTTCTGCTGATTATATTGATGGATTGTCTTATGGTATGGATGTGTTTTGATTTATTTGTTTGCTTGTTTTTCTTTGGGAGAAGCTCGGTGTATAATTCGGAGACGAATGAGATGGTGGCGATTAAGAAGATAGCAAACGCGTTTGATAATCACATGGATACCAAGCGTACGCTTCGTGAGATCAAGCTTCTTCGCCATTTGGATCATGAAAATGTGAGTGTTAATCTCTGTGCTTTGTCGTGTTTTTCAGTTTAATTTGGGATTTCTTTTTAATTTTGTTATGGTGTGTCTAGATTATAAACGTTTGGGTCAAAATAAATTGATTTGTTGACTTGATTTTTTCCCCCTTTGAATCTGAGTAGTTTAATGCTATACTTTATAAGGGTGGTAGCTTGTGTGTGTTTAAGAAAGAAAGTCGCTTTTAATTGAAGAATATCCCTTTTTTGGACTTGTTTTAATGATAATTTTCACTGAAAGTGGATATGACTGGCACTTTGTGATTTGAAGGGTGTGTATAAGCTGCGTTAACCAGTAAAAAAAAAAAAGCTATATGAGCGTTTGTTCTGATATAAAGAATATCCTCCTAATAAGTGCTTTTACAGCTTCAAGTAACCTTGAGAAGTTGAAAACTTGCCTAATTGTGGTTATTTTAGACAAGTGCTTTGGTTTCCATGGTTTAATGCAGGATAGCTAATGCTAAGTCTGTTTGATTGAGTCAGATTTTGGAACGAAGATGTTAGCATTGGCTTTTTGTACGATTCTAATATGTGGGATTTATTTCTTCAAAACAGGTCGTAGGTATAAGAGATGTGATTCCTCCACCATTAAGAAGAGAATTCACAGACGTGTACATTGCAACGGAGCTGATGGATACTGATCTCCATAACATAATTCGATCGAATCAAGGTTTATCAGAAGAGCACTGTCAGGTGTTACCTTTTACTTCCAATTATCTTGAAAACTTTTGATCGCTTAGTAGTTAAAATTTTTTACTGAAATCAATTTTCTCCTTTTCTGTGCCCTGCAGTACTTCTTGTATCAGATTCTTCGAGGGCTGAAATATATTCACTCAGCTAATGTTATCCACAGAGACTTAAAGCCCAGCAATCTTTTGGTGAATGCAAATTGTGATTTGAAAATTTGTGATTTTGGTCTTGCTCGACCAACTGCCGAGAATGAGTTTATGACAGAATATGTTGTCACAAGATGGTATAGGGCCCCTGAGATATTGCTGAATTCTTCAGATTATACTGCTGCTATTGATGTGTGGTCTGTCGGTTGCATCTTTATGGAACTTATGAACAGAAAACCTTTGTTTCCAGGCAGAGATCATGTGCATCAGCTGCGCTTATTGACAGAGGTAAGAATTGAACTCATTGCAGCATATTTAATGGGTTGAATATATTGGTGATGAGAGTGTCAGTTACACGGGTAAATTGTAGAATTATTGAATTTTATGTAACTTTTAAGATTTTACTATTCTTGCTGATCATGCCTATATTCCATTTGTTTTAGTTAATAAGGTGTCAGAATTCTTCTCATGTTATGATATACTGTCAGAGATCAATGAGATAATGTTCCAGCAATCCACTTGCTTAGCTCCCTTTCTATTTCTTTATGTGTGTTCTTGATAATGTATATTAGTCAGGCTATGTCTGTGTAAATACTGTCCTATCAACATTAATAGTCCACTTTCTTCAATGTGAAATGGAGTTAATATTTAGAAACCTGTTCACTAAATGATTACTTAAATGTGTTATATTTATCTGGTAGCTGCTTGGCACACCGACTGAATCTGATCTGGAATTTGTTCGGAATGAGGATGCAAAAAGATATATCCGTCAACTCCCAACACACCCTCGTCAGCCACTAGCCAGACATTTCCCAAATGTTCATCCATCAGCAATTGATCTTGTTGATAGAATGTTAACATTTGATCCAAGAAAAAGAATTACTGGTGAGTTCTATGGTTTTCTGCCAGCCAATATTAATTCTTTATTGGACAAATATATAGTACATGTTTTTTCCTTTAATTCATAATGAAAGTTAATTTTTTTTTTATTAGTTGAGGAAGCATTAGCTCATCCTTACCTTGCGCGATTGCACGACATTGCTGATGAACCAGTTTGTTCAGAGCCATTCTCTTTTGATTTCGAGCAACAACCTTTGGGAGAAGAGCAGATGAAAGATATGATTTATCAGGAGGCTTTAGCACTCAATCCAGAATATGCTTGAAAAAGGAGACAACAAACACTGAAACCAGAACCTACAACACCACATGATGTCTCGCAATCAAACAATTAACATCCTCCTGTTTTGTTCAACTTATATTGTAATATTTTGGGCTTGCCCAATTCTGGCTGTCCTAGTTCTCTTGAGGTCAGTCTCTTGAAGCTCTATAAGTTCTTTAACCTTTGTACTCAGTCTTTTTGGTTCTTCTGTTCAGGCGAATGTTTGTTATAATGTGTTTAAATTTGGTATTTTCTCCCACTGTATTATAAACACTTTTGTGAAGTGATGTAACCTAAGATTGATTTATTGTAATACTGACTTGAAATCTTGTTGTAAAATGGTTTTATTAGAATCACCTTTTGTCTCGTTCATCAAATCAGTCTCATTCGAGAATGATTATCTTATGTTCACTGTGGTGTACAATATTAATAATATCATCTTTGTTACACAAGTGAAT